TCTGCTCTTCAGAAGGCAGCGGGCACACCGAGATTTACAGTGCCCTCCCCAGCTCCCCTCGTTCTTCTAAATCACTCCCCACGTCCCATAATACGCCCCCAGAATCCCTGCTGCAGTTTGGAAGGCTTATTTAGCGAGTCAGATATAGCAAGGCATGAACTTATAAATAGAGAGGGGCAAGGTTGGGAACTCTGCAACGTGACTCACAAGTCAAACTGCCTGTGAGGAACTTATCAGACATTTGCTTTAAATATTCATTTAGCAATACCAATGCCTGCTCACGGTTACACTTACCGTATAAAAACACCATGCCCATATGTGGTCAGCACATCGATGGTGATTTCTCCAAAAGTGCTGGGAGGCCGCTCACTGTCCCGCTGGTTGCACACAGCCCAGGATTGCAGAGGCCAGAGCTCCCAGGCTACAGCCTGCCCATGTACCACCAGCACAGCCACTGCCACTGAAGAAGGCGGCAGCCCCTGTGGTTATGTCGGAAGGCGTTTCCTCCTTAGATGTTAATATTGCTTTTATTCCTGTGGCTGTGTTTCTTAATCCAGGCCCTAACCGTGAAAACACTTGGACACTAACCAGATCTGTTGTCCTCTGGTGGCTTCAGTGAGGACCACTCACAGGACTCAGCACATCTGCAGGTAGATAAACCCAGGGCTTGTCCCATGCGCTGCCTGTGACTCCATAAATGGGATGAAACTGCCACAAGGTGTGATCAGCCAAACCTCACCTGCACAAATTGCAACAATTAATACTAAGTGCAATATCAGTACAGGGCCTCTGGGGACCCACTATCGGTATGAACCTGGGAGAACATTAGTAATGTGCTGCAGATTGCCCCACACCCCATTCCCTCCATCTCCCAGTCCCTGCCATGTGCTGACCCTGCAGTGTTTTCTATGTTATTCTTTGCTCACAGCTTCACATCATCCTGCCCCTTTTAGTTTTAAACAGTGATGCGCACTGTTGTGTGTACTCCATGGGCTGCCCACAGCCCTGTTTCAGCCTTTGCCCAGGCAAGTCATAGGCTATGAAGAACCATCACCAATCTGGGCAAGCTGCACCTGGTTGCTGGCCCTGGCCAAGATTTACAGGAGTTATCACAGGGTCACAGCATGGCTGAGGCTGCAGGGAACCTCTGGGTCCATTTGCTCCACCCTCTACTCAAGCAGGGCCACTGGATTAGGGTGCCCAGGACCATATGCAGGTGGCTTTTGGAGATTTCTAAGGAGGAGACCCCACAGCTAGTATGGGAATGTCCCAGCCCAGCTGCTGGCCATGGCAGCCCCTGGGTCATGGCCGTGCTTGGAAGACATTCAGATTTCTAGACTTTCCCTGGTATTTGTGCCAGGAAACTGGACTGCATGACTTTCAGGGCTAAATTTAGGATGGCAAGTATTTCCCGTTCCCCAAACACCTTCATGACGACATCTCAGAATCTTCCATGAACATTAGCTGTTCCTCGTTATCTTCCTTCAAGCCAGAAAACAGAAAAGCCATTTTGCTGATAACAAACAGAGCACAGGGAGTGTTGACTTGTTCATGGTGAGGGGGAAAACCATGATAGGCTTGGGATGGGAAAGGGTAAAAGGGAGATAAAGCCAATACACTTCTGTCCTGTTGTCATGGAAACATGGTGCATGACCTGGGGCAGCACTGGTGACCATCAGCCCTTCCTCTACCCAGTGGCTGCCACAGGCCCCATGAGAGCACAGCAAACCCTTGGAAAACCCTGCCCAAAGAGTGCCGTAGGCCAGCAGCCCAGTGGCACCTGCTTACTTCATGGGCTGGCAGCAGTCCAGGGGAATCCTGACTCCTTCAGAGAAAGCACTGACTGCACCAATCCCATCTGAATCAGATACAAAATTCTGATGTCTCTTTCTCAGTGGGAAAGTGGTTCAGGAGGAGTCGGATGAAGGGTCACCAGCTCCTGTAGCCTCCTTTCCCTGGGGAAGGACAGAGGTGCATCCCTTAACACACATTCACCTGGAGTAGAATGCAGAGGGTTCTGCTTTGGGCAACATAACCAAAAGCTGACTCATTCAAAGGGCCAAGCAGGCACAGCCACCTCTACAAATACAGCTCAGTCCTCAGGGGAGAGATCTGCCACACTGCACTGAAATCAAGGCAGATGGGGCTATGTCTCCATGAGCAGGACTAGGCGCTCAGGAACAAACATAGTGTCATAGAATCATAGGTCTCGTAGAATCATTTGAGTTGGAAGGGACCTTTAAAGGCCAGCTAGTTCAACTCCCCTGCAGTGAATAAGGGCACCTACAGCTAGATCAGGTTGCTTAGAGACTAGTCCAGCCAGCCTGGTCTTGAGTGTCTGCAGGGACAGGGCATCCACCACTTCTCTGGGCAACCTGTTCCAGTGCTTCACCACCCTTACTGTAAAAAAAAACTTCTTCCTTACATCCAATCTAAATCTCCCCTCTTTTAGTTTGAAACCTTTTCCCCTTGTCTTATCACAGCAGACCCTGCTAAAAAGTCTATCCCCTTCTCTCTTGCAGCCACTTTTTAGATACTGGAAGGCCACTCTCAGGTCTCCCTGGAGCCTTCTCTGGGCTGAACAACCCCAGCTCTCTCAGACTATCTTCAAAGGAAAGATGTTCCATCCCTTGGATCATTTTTGCAACCCCCCTCTGGATGCATTCCAACAGGTCCACATCTCTCCTGTACTGAGGACTCCACATCTGGATGCAGTACTCCAGATGAGGTCTCACCAGTGCAGAGGGAAGAGGCAAGATCCCTTCCACCATCCTGCTGGCCATGCTTCTTTTGATGCAGCCCAGGATACAGCTGGCTTTCTGGGCTGCAAGGGCACATGATGCCACTGGCTTTAATCTGAGCAAATCACCCCTGAGCACACGAGAGCTCTTCTATAAGGCCATCATACTTTTCTCTGATCTTCAGAATCTTGTTTTCCCTGGAGCAGGGAGAAGCTGATGGAAGCTAAGAGAGGGTGAGCAGAGAGCAGGTAGGGCTGAGAAGGTATAATGGGCTGGAGGGATATGCCAAGGAAGAAAGCTGCTTACAGGAATCTATATATATGCAGCCCTGTGAGGTGGGGTTACAGCACAGGCTTTTTTCCTGGATGACTGCAGCACCCCAGGGCCAGAGCTGCCTCCCAGCCAACAGAGCTGGCTTCAGAGCATGACTGGGAAAAGGTTGTGCCTGGCTACAGTTCCTGTGGGCACTATGGGATAGCCCACCAGGAGCAGACAGTGCTGGAAGTCCAGAAAGTTGGACTTTCAGGGCTGATAGTGAGCTCTACTATCAGAGGATAGGAGAAGAGGGAAAGCCCTGGGGAAACAAAGCAGTTCTCTAAAGTGTCACCGTTACTCATAGCACACATCCCTAGATGCTGAGGACGCTGGCCCTGATGATCCTCCCCCTCCTGTCAGCAGCACTGGCCCAAAAGCAGGAAGAATGATGAAATTCTTAAGAAATTGGTCAGTGAAGACCAGACTCAAATTGATGTGTTAATTTTCCCTTTGCTGAAAATTCTCTTCATCTGTTTCCAAACAATCTTTTCCTGCAAATGCCAAGTCCAAATCAAAGGCTGGTTTCAGGGTTAAAAATGTGTTCAGTCCTGAAATTAATCTCCAAAAAGTTTAGTGGCATCTCAACGTATTCATTCAGCAACCAAATCAACAAATCAGTCCATTGTTAAATTGCACTGTTAAGCTCTTCAGCAGGATGCAATTGACACTGAGAGCATCACCCTGCCTGCTCTGAAGCACAGTTGGTGACTGGTGTTCAAGAAATGTGTGGATGGGGCACTGAGTGACATGGTTAGTGGGCATGGTGGGGATGGACTGTCACTTGGACTTAATGATCTGTGGTCTTTTCCAGCCTTACTGATTCTATGACCACTTAAGAACTTAGCACCATTTAAGCTACAGGAAAACCTCAGATCAGTACCCTTCAGTAGCGAGGGTTGGGTCCTGTTGAGGTGTGTACAACTGCACAACAACGTGAAAATAGTAAATACAGCAAGGCCATAAGCAAACTTCTGTTTGTCTTTTTAAGAAAGGATCCTGCTCTCCCATCCAGTCCCAGCCATTCAGTTTGAAGCATGTAGGTCTGCACAGGGACTTCCCACAGCAGGTACCGTCTCTTCCTGCAGAAATTTTCTTTGGAGACTGGGCTGTTATTGGAAAGTGTATTCACACATGAGGGCAAAATCATCACAGTGAGAAAGAACACACTCTTAGCATCATCACAGTAGAGCAATAACCTCCCTGGATTGGAACTTCAGCTGAAAATCATCTTTTCTTCCAGCAGTGTTGCCCCCACTGCAGTGGTAATGTGGAACAACAGCCCCAAATCAAGTGCAGCTTTCCTGCCAGGGACATTTAAGAGGAGGCAGATAAGTAAGGCAGCTCCCACAGTGTCCTTGGGGGCAGAAGGGCAGGCAGGGAAAGCCCCCTGGGCTCCCAGGGCACAGGGAATCCACATGAACCTGTGGCCACAGGAGGTCCTGGCTGTGCAGGCAAAGCTCTGTGTGTCAGGTGGGGTGAGGAAGTGGCCCTGGCTGCCCCCAGCCCCGGGGACAGTGTGAGTGCAGGAGGGCTTTCCATAAGCGGAGTGGAAAGCTCTTAATTTAACCTGTGCGCACCACCTGGCCTCAGCTGTGGCCTTGCCTCTGTCCATCACGGTTCTGAGCTGCACAGGCATGCCTGGCTACTGCTCTGGCAGGCTGAGCCCAACAAAATCCCTCACAAGCTGAGAATGAGCAAGGCTCGTAACCCTTTCCCTACTGGGCATGGGAGAAAAACAGTGCAGTAGATGCCCGTGTTGTGGGCATCCCAGGCTACTCTCTGCACCAGTGAGCTTCCTGCAGCTCACAGCAGGGCTAGGCCCCCCCAGCAGGATCCCATCACCCTCCCCATGCCATCTCTCCCTGGAGAGCCCCAACCCGTACTCCCAACCCCAGCACCCAGACTCAGGTCAGCGAGAAGTGGAAGAGCCCAGGGAAATAACGACAGAAACAACTGCATTAGGGGTGTGACAGAATGACTGATGATTTAATGCTTCTTGAAGTTTTATGTTTCCTTCCACAGGGCATTGGTTTTAAAAACAAACAAAACGAGGTAAAATAAATTAATTTATGTACACTTTACATACACTGTGTCACATGGAGCTTTGCAGCAACAGTAACCAGAAATTGTTACAAAATAGAAAGTTGCATGGCTGGTGCAGGTCCTCAGCAGCCTGGAACCTACAAGGTTGTCATCCTGAGTGTGGTTGGCAAAGTGATCATGTAAACATGTTTAGAAGCATTTACGGTGGACAATGGATGGGCCAGCTTCATCGTACTCTTGCTTTGTGATCCACATCTGCTGGAAGGTGGACAGGGAGGCCAAGATAGAGCCACCAATCCAGACAGAGTATTTGCGCTCAGGTGGGGCAATGATCTAGGAAAGTGAAGGAAGGAAGAGAGACAAGATCAGCACACTTGCAGCCACCGCAGGTGTCATGGGGTACGTGCTGCCCCATGCACTATTCACAGGAGGACCAGAGAAGGCTGCTCCTGGAGACTTCTGTGCAGGTCCTTGACACTCAAGCCTTACCTTGATCTTCATTGTGCTGGGGGCCAGGGCTGTGATCTCCTTTTGCATGCGGTCAGCAATACCTGGGTACATGGTGGTACCCCCAGACATGACGTTGTTGGCATACAGGTCCTTCCTGATGTCAATGTCGCATTTCATGATGCTGTTGTAGGTTGTCTCATGGATCCCTGCGGACTCCATACCTGTGGGCAGGAGAAGAGCAGGCATGAGCTAAGTGCTAAGCAGGAGCTCTGTGCCAGGAGAGAGCAGAGAACTGGCAGGAGAGAAGAGAGGAAAGGGGGGCACGCACCAATGAAGGAAGGCTGGAAGAGGGTTTCTGGGCAGCGGAAACGCTCATTGCCGATGGTGATGACCTGCCCATCAGGCAGCTCGTAGCTCTTCTCCAGGGAGGAGGAGGAGGCAGCGGTGGCCATCTCGTTCTCAAAGTCCAGAGCCACATAGCACAGCTTCTCCTTGATGTCACGGACAATCTCGCGTTCAGCTGTCAGGGGGAGCAAAAGCGTCAGTGATTGCAAGGAAGGGAAAGAACAAGAAACACTCACAACTCCTCCATAGGTCTGCTGGGTCTCCGAACCACAAGCCATAAGCAAATGCCCAACAGGGAGCGCTCCCAGGGCTTGCAGTGTGGCAAGAGGTTGCAGCATTCCTTGATGTGTGAGAGTTGGGAATGTGGGGAGACATTCTGGAGGAGGGAACAATGCTTACCCGTGGTGACAAAGGAATAGCCACGCTCAGTCAGGATCTTCATCAGGTAGTCAGTGAGGTCACGGCCAGCCAGATCCAAGCGCATGATGGCATGGGGCAGGGCATACCCTTCATAGATGGGGACGTTGTGTGTCACACCATCGCCGGAGTCCAGCACAATACCTGTGAAAACAAAGTGCAGCCATCTGAGGAGCAGCCCACAAACAGACCTGCGCTGGGGCAGAGAAGTTGGTGACTGCAGAGGCCCGTTCCTGGGTGTCCTTGGGGAAGAGGGTCCATTGGGATGACCGTACTCACCAGTGGTACGGCCAGAGGCATACAGGGACAGCACAGCCTGGATGGCCACATACATGGCGGGTACGTTGAAGGTCTCAAACATGATTTGGGTCATCTTTTCACGGTTGGCTTTGGGATTAAGGGGGGCCTCAGTGAGCAGGGTGGGGTGCTCCTCAGGGGCCACACGCAGCTCATTGTAGAAGGTGTGGTGCCAGATCTTCTCCATGTCGTCCCAGTTTGTGATGATGCCGTGTTCAATGGGGTACTTCAGGGTGAGGATACCCCTTTTGCTCTGAGCTTCGTCCCCTACGTAGGAGTCCTTCTGACCCATACCCACCATGACACCCTGCAGGAGAGGAAAACGGGGGCTCAGCGACCTCTCCACGGGCAGCAGCACGTCCCCGCTCCACACACGGGGCCGAGGGACCCCACAGGAAGCCCCGAGGCGGCCAACACCGTACCTGGTGGCGGGGCCGGCCCACGATGGAGGGGAACACGGCCCTGGGGGCGTCATCCCCGGCGAAGCCAGCCTTCACCAGGCCGGAGCCGTTGTCGCACACGAGCGCGGTGGTCTCGTCCTCGTCACACATGTTGCTGGCTGTCTGCGGGACACGGGGCCGTGAGGCTCAGGGTGACGGCAGGGCCCACGGAGGGCCAACACGACGGCCCCGCGAAGGGACGCCGGGCGGCACGGCACGTCGCTGTGCCCACCTACCTGTGCTGACTGCGCGTCGGGCCGCTGGCAGAGACGCCTCCCGCTCCTCCGGGTAGCTCGTGGGCCGCCGCCGGCCCCGGAGCCTTTTATCGAGGCGGGCGGGAGCGGCGCCCGGCCCCCAGGAATGCGGCCCCGGCCGTCGCCATATTTGGGTGTCGGGCCCGGCGCGGCCCCGGCCCGGCGCTGCCCAAAGAAGGCGCTCCTGGCCGCGGCCCAGGTGAGCGAGGCCGGGCCGTATAAGGAGCGTCTGCCGGGCCCCCCCCCCGGGGCCGGGGCCGAGGCCGAAATAATCCCCCGGCACCGCCGTGCCCGTTAAGGACGAAGCGGTAGGGGCCTCTCCCGGGGCCGTGCGGGAGCCGGGAGCGCAGCGAGGCGTGAGGGAGGAGGCCTCGGGGGCCGCGGAGGTCCTTGCAGGGACTGAGCCTCACCTGTGAGGGAGCGTGCAGCCGGGTACGGGCTGTGCCAGGCAGGGAACGGGCAGCTAGAAGGGCAGCGTGTTGGAGGCTGAGCTGTGCCTATGTGCCGTCCTGTGGGACGTGGCGGCAGCCCGCCTAGAATCATAGAATCACAGAATCGCCCAGGTTGGAAAATGCCTTAAAGATCATCGAGTCCAACCACAACCCAACCATACTGCCCTAACTAACAGCCCTGCGCTAAGCCATGTCCCTGAGCATCACATCCAAACGGTTTTTAAACGCATCCCGGGATGGTGACTCAACCACCTCCCTGGGGAGCCTATTCCATTCTATAGAGAAATTTTTCCTGACATCCAGCCTAAACCTCTGCTGGTGCAACTTGAAGCCATTTCCCTCATCCTGTCACCAGTGAGAAGAGACCAACCCCGCTCTCACTGCAATCTCCCTTCAGGTATTTGAAGAGAGCAATATGGTCTCCCCTCAGCCTCCTCTTCCCCAGATTAAACAGCCCCAAAGTCACAGCTTTGCATTCTGAGTTGTCACGTATTTTTTTCCTGGATGCTATTTTTAAAATGGAAAATAAAGGTATATGATAATCACAGAGAAATGTCTGAAGGCAAAGCAGGGAAGGTGCAGATGCAGGTGACTCAGAAGCCTGAGTGGCCATGAATGCTGGTGCCCTTACCACATCCCTGTTTCTGGCCTGCTGAGCTCTGCTGGGTATAGCACAGCATCCCCTATCCAGTGCAGCAGCTCAGCCTCTTAAAAAGAAGGGCAGTCTCACAGAGGAACCATCTCTGATTAAGCAAAGGTACTGTGCAAGTGAAGAGGAACTGTCCATCTCCAGCAGCTACGGGTGTTTTAACAGATTCCGTGTGTGACATGTGGAAGATTTTATACAGAAATTCTGATCACGTCAGAAGAAGAATTGAGGAGGTAACACAAGGAGGTTTGCAGCCTTGCACATGAGTCCTGTAAATCAGCCTTCAAGACGTTCTCTAATGATACAGCTGGTCAAGGGAAGTACTTCTAAACTTTAACATGGAGTCAAGAGAGGAAGAGGAAGAAGAGGTAAAAGGAAGAGTTAAGCCAGAAGCATTCATGCTGTGAGGAGTCTCCTGAAAGTAAAGGCATTTCCTCCACTGCCATGAAGAACAGGAAGTGTCAATAAGAGAAGCAAACAACTTTTCTTTTCAGCTTTTGCATCCTCTGTCTTGACCGCATTCCTCTTCACCTCTGGCTGCTCCCTATTTCTTTCAGCTATATGTTTTCATTTCTTGTCGCGTTATTGTACTGAAGTACATGGGGATAACAGATGCTTTTCTCTCACGCTATTTTTCAACTTCCTGTGTTATTCTTCAGTTCTGTCGTCTACAACTGGGACTTGAAAAACTGGAAGCCAGAAAAGCACTTAAGAGAACTACGGCCATCAAATCTATTTACAGAACTATAACACGGGTTCCAAAATATGGTCACTTGCATTGAGCAGGCTTTGGATCTGAAATCAAATTATGTTTATAATAGAAATCCTGCCTAAAACATTAACACTTCTGAGATGTAAACATTTTTAATGGTACTTCAATGAAACACGACACAAACCTAAACCCACTCTTCCCCTAATTTCTTTTTATTTTCTGGCAGCCCAAATAAAGTTTACAGCAAAGTGCTTGGTGTGAAGTTCTTCTAGTTCTGTATAAAAGATGATTTTCCACAGGTAGGTCAGATATTTAACTCAATTTGATTTTGGCTGTAAGTCAGGAAACATTTGAATTTAGTTTCCAAAAGAGAACACAGAGAAAACCACTATCTATAATAAGTAACTTTAGAAATTTACCACAAATGACAATTGATAAACTGCAGCTCCTATGACAGCAGAGGACAGAAGTGTGGACATTTTGTGCTGCACGTGTTTTCCATTAATGAAAAAGTAACGCTTTAAGAAACAATATAAAGTGCAGTTCTGTACAGGAGCTGCCCATATTCCCTAAGCTGTTTTTATCAAAACCTGAATGTTTTGAGGCCCAACTTTATTTCTGGTTCTGTTGCACTTGAAAGTAATTTGGAGCTCTTGCATGACCTTTGATGGGCAGTGATAAACGAAGGCATCCTGCTGTACAGTAACCCGAGACAAGAGTGCTGTAAAAGAACAGCTTATTACATAATGAAACGGAGCCTGGAGGGATAGCCCCAAATTCCCAGCTTTTCAAGCTTCCTAGTGCAATAGTGAACCAACTTAACATTCCTTGTAGGAGAACACTTAACTTCAGCTTAGGCATGGAAGTTATTTTAATGAGGTTATATTTAAGTAAACTCATTGCCTTCACTGTAGACTTCTGTTTTGGCAATAGTCAGATGAAAGGCATTGTACAAATGCCAAATACCTCCTAACCCAGCAGCAGAATAAAACATTAATTGTAAAGACTACATGGCTGATCGTTTCCTGAGAACCTGGAAAATGCCTTTACACCAACCGGAATAAACACATCTCAGCAAAGACGCCAGACGCATTGGAGCAGACAGCTATGGATGAGCAGAAGTGTGTACAGCTAGAAAAAGCTTTCCTTGGCTTATCCTGTCAGTCCTAACAGACTACAGACAGTCTAAGAAGGGTATCTCTGAAGTATTTCACTGTGGATGGTCAATTACAGAGATTCCTTTTCTTGCAAAACATGCCCAGTAAAGTTTATGTAGAACACATTTCAGCACAGAGTGACAGTCATCTGTTAGATTATGCCCTTTCTCTTAAAATGTGACATTTATCAATTACATGAAACCGCCCTTAAAGCAATATTTAAACAAGCAGGTGCAATTCTTCTAATGTTTTAAATGACTGACTGCTTTGAAACCACAGCTCAGATTTATACCCACACTTTGTTATCAGCCACGAAGGACTGCAGAAGAGCAAAGTCTGCTTCCTAGAACAATCTGAGAAGATGAGTTGTTAATGCATTTCTTTCCCATATTAGTTAGAACCTCTCTAGATAAAGCTATTCTTCCAAACATGTTCAGACTCTCAGCCCAGCTTACTGTATTAGTACAGGGAGGAGGGGAAGCAGCGGAAGGGGAGCTGTGCTTTTAAAACTAGAAACTGGATTCTCTTCAACCAATTTAACTTCTGACCTTCTCAGCTGTTGGATCAAGTTGTTGCAGCAGGCAACTCGCCAGACAAGTAAAACATAAGGGCATGCAACTCGCTCTGCATTCATTCTCTGGCCGTTGAGCTACTAGCAAAAGTAAGGTGCAAACCTATCCAACTAAAGCAACATTTAACTTAAAAGTTTAAAATCTGCTACCAATCAAAATAATTAATAAAAATTTAAATGGATTTTTTATTCCTATGTTAGAGATAACTAACTGGGACAGAAGGGTTAAAAATTAGCCGCAACATCAAATATTAAAGAGCAAGTTGTCAAGTAAGGAAGATCATGATGGACACCCACTTTCATTAACTGCTCTCGAGGTTTCTAGTCAGCCTTGATTCAAGCAGTTGCTGTGAATGCCTGCACGGTGAGCTCCTAAATCTCATTTTTAAGATGCATTCTAGAAATCCAGAAGTAATTTTTATGAACGTTAGATGGATAAAATGTAGTTAAGAGCATTTTGAAAAAGTAAGCTTAGTATTGTAAAATATAAAATCAGGATGAACTGAAAGAATGGTGTATTTCTGGGCCAGAGGAATCTGAACGACAATAGTGCTTGGTGACAAGTTGAACAGCTAGTGACAAGCCAGCTAGCCTTACAGCAATCTTTACTGCAAAGCTGAAATTACTTTCTGCAGCAGACAGTGTACACAATGCAGAATGCATGAGAAGTGTTGGCAGTAAAGTTCTTCTATGGAAGAACTACGTGTTTCTTAAGCAAAATGCAGACATCAAGCACTAATACTATTCAATGTTATCTGAACTGAAATCACAGACCCCATGAAGTGAGAGCAAGGGTTTCTACTTTCTTCAGCGGGTCCTACATTTCACCCTGTGGTCTTTGCAACTTTCTGACTATCAGGCAGGTCTCATAGTAAAGAAAATATACAACAAAACAGCGAGTTTACAAAATGCATGGAAAATGAAAACCTTATTCTTTCTTTTACCTGAAAACACACTCCTGACTCCCCTGACTGAGGTGTCAATGTGTATAAATTTAAGACTGCTGTGGTTTAACCTGGCAGGTGGCTGATCACCACACAGTTGTTCACTCATTCCCCCTCCTCTTCCCACTGGGATGGGGGAGAGAATAAGAAATAAACAAAAAAAACCACTCAAGTGTTGAGATAAAACTAATTTCTAGGACAGAAAAAAATGAAAAGAATAATAGTTATGACTGGATGCATATATATGTATATAACAAGTGATGAACAAGCAATTGCTCACCATCCCCAAACTGATGCCCAGCTAGTCCTTGAGCAGTGGAAGAGTGAGAGATGAACTCCCATCCCCTTCAAAACTCATTCTGTTTGATGTTGTATAGTATGGACAGCTGACTCAAACTTTGGCCAGTTTGAGTCAGCTGTCCTAATTCTGTTCCCTCCCAGCTCCTCGGGCCCTTCGCTGAGAATGGGCTTGACTCTACAACACTGCTTAGCAAGAACTGTAAACATTGATGTGTTATCAACATTATCTTTCTCCTAGAACCAAAACATAGCATCATACCAGACACTACAAGGAAAACAATTTCATCCCAAGTGAAACTACTTATTCTACATCATTTTCATCATGTTCAGGTCTCGTAATTTCTACATGTCCTAATTAACTACCATCACCTATCTTGCTTTTTGATATATATACAATACATATACACATACAGTATTCCCATGATCTATGGGCCATTCATGTAAACTGTTCGTGGTATTCATTTAGTTCACAACTTTGGGCTTCATCTGTCAGTACAATTCTTCAGTGCAGAAGGGATGATTCACAGTGTTGGGTTACTGTATGCAGAAGCTAGTTCTGGTTCCACCTGAGTAGTTCTTACTGTAATAGTTTTAACAAGAGATGTAACAACCATAATAATGATGACATGCAGTATTATGTAGCAATTTAACATCATACAATTTAAACTACTGGCTGTTCTCATCCAGCATCAAATCACAGACATCCCCATCCTTCCACATTACCCACCACATGCACCCAGGTCCTTGAGCAGAAGCAATCCCACAGATAGGCTTGCCTTTGCCCAAGGCTGGAATAACAGACTGTATTATCCAGCATGTTCTTTATATACACTACCAGCACTTTATCTCCTTCTACAGTGTGTACGAGGTTTAATTGGGCAGGGCCAGCTTGACTGGCAGATCCCCAAGTGCTGACTAATTGCATGGCTTTTGCCAAATGTGTCCCAATGTTTGAATGTCCCAGAACCCATTATTCCCAATATAGCATTTATCAGTCCATTCAATTTCTCCAGAAACTGGTGCATGATAGGGGATATGATACACTCAGTCACTGTCATGCTCTTTGGCCCTGGTGGTTATGAGACTGTTTCAGAAATTAGTCCCATTATCTAACTCAAGTCTTTTTAGGGTGCCATGTCACTACAAGACTTGATTTTTAAGACCAAGGATCAAAATTTGAACAGTAGCATGGAGCACACAATCTGTTTTCAGCCATCCAGCTTCCACTCTTGCAAGCACATGGTGCTTGCCCTGGTCAGTTTGTGGGAGAATATGATATAAATATGGGATGCCCTGGCAAATGGATTATATTTCAGCTGTTATTCTCCATACCAGAGAGGTTTTATCCACTGCTTAATTGCAGTGCACACTGCACACTCATGGATAACCTGTGCAATAGTGCCCATATATTCAAGCTCACCCCTCGTTCTATAAGTTGCATCTCTTCCTTGATGGCCTGACGGGTCATGGGCCCACTGAGCTAGAAACAATTCACCCTCATTTTACCAGTCTAAATCTACCTGAGCCACTTCAATGCTAGCAGCCTGCTCCACCTGCTGATTATTGTGATGTTCTACAGTGGAACTACTCTTGGATACATGTCATACCAGACACTATGAAAAAAAAAAACAATTCCACCCCAGCTGAAACTAAGACAATGACCAAGTATATCACTTTATATAGACTTTACTATAAAGTTTTAGCAAAAAAAAACCAAAACCCAACAGACTGTAAAAAAGTATACATGAATTCAACAGTACTTTAGAAAAAAAATATTTTTTAAAAATGACAACTATGTTTGTCCGTGAACATAGAGCTCATAGTTTGCTTTTAACACAAATTCAAAGTAAGCATTATATCTCAAGGAGCCGAGTTCATTTGCTTGCAGAAAGTCCTTCACGTCCGGTAAATATTCACTTAACTGAACTCCTACAATACAAAACCTTTCATTACAGAACTGATAAGAATACTTTGCATTAGCATTTAAGATCATTTTAAGGAAGCACCATTTCTGCATTTTCTTGGAATTCAATCTAGTTATAATTCTATTATGCATATTAAGAAATGCAGTGAAACATAAGCATCCTGTGAAACTAAGTCTAATATACTTCCTGCCTAAAGAGAGCTTCCCAGTGACTTCCCCACTGAATTTATTATTAAACCTAGAACAGTTTCATATGAAACCTAAGTATTCACATTGCATTTTACAAAGGAAATATCAGTCACATAACCAATACTGGTATTATCAGTTGCAATGTTTCAGTCTGCACTGTGAAAATCTTACAAAAAGGGAAGAATGTGATAGACTGAACACACACAAAGCCAGACCTGTTCTGACAAATTTATTTTTCATATTTCTTATGTAGTGCCTTCTTAATTCTGGACAGTATTCATATATAGCAGTAATGATTTTTATTTTATTTTATACGTTAAGCATATACGTATACTGTCCTATGAAAGGCATAACCTATTAAAAACTGTAATTTTGATGACCACAGCTTCCCACAGCCAGTTTTAGCTTTGAGAGAGTGGTGGTGGTATCCATTTTGCATTTTGGGGGAAAAACAAAACGTAAAATATTTGAGTTTTAGTTTATGCTCTTCAGAGTGACAGACAATTAAATACTAACAATTCTTTTTCTTACAGAAGAGATGCATTTATTTGCAGCTGACATGCTTTGCTGTGCAACAACAAACCATTAAAATCTGACAGGCGCCCAAGTGAGCCAATAATTTGAGGGTACTGAGATTATAACTAAGAAATCAGCTCATCTCTTTCATCTTCTTGACATTCATAGAGAGAACTAATTCCCATATAATTGTCGTTATCTAGTGGAATGCATACGGAGGTTTTTATTATTCTAAATAAACACTAGTTACTCTGTATGTATTAGCTACTACATATTAGTTTTAAGCAGTTTTTAGAATGAACTGTATTTCAAGTTCACATTTCTGTTCACCTTACCTTCTTTCAATAGCTTTTGCAGTATTTTCACAAATATACTATCTTTAGATGCTTCTATTGGATCATCTTTGCCTTCTGAACTGGACCATCTGCAAAGTCAATGAATAATTTGCAAAGAGAATTGCAGCAATGGAAATTAAATGAAAACAAGAAAAAATACACAGGAAATCTGACAAATGATCAAAGGTGATAATATATCTTCACACACAAGCGTTGTGTGTGTGGTCACAGCTCAAAGCAAGAGGTTTCCTTAGCCACTATTACATTATTCCAAGAGTGTGCATCAAGACAAAAATTACCCATTCTCAATAACTAATGACTGAGATCAAAGTAGGGATTTATCTTTTGGTAGAATACAGCAAGAGTAGCAATTTGCCAATATGTTTTTTTTTAAAAAATGAGAAAAAAGGGAGGAAAAACTGTACAGTACAAGCTGCAGTCTTGTAACAGCACACACAAAAATACAAGCTGAGTTTCTTTGGTGATTAAATGTGAAAGACTTATGAATGCAAGACTAATCTGTGAAAAAAGCTTCAAACTGGTCTAAGAGAAATGTTATTTCAAGTGACACTTTCAGATCTGGACCTGGCTCGCAAAAGCCCCTACTTCTACATCCTCAATGAAATCACGGTTTTACCCAGAGTATCAGTTTAACTCCAAAACTCACAGACCTTCATGGTTAACTCTATTGGGAAGAGACTAAGGAAAGGAGGAAGGGAAGATGAAAGGCTTGGTGGTGGTCTCCTTCTCCTCTGTACAAAGGAGGGACAATGAAAACCCTACTAAAATGTCAGGAGCATGTTTAGCAAGGCTCTCTATTCTATCCAAGAAACTTACCACCATTCGTGGTTGTGGCAGCAGAAAACAGGTAGGAAATGTAATACATCAAATATTTTATTCCACACATTGAAGAAAACTAACACTACCTCTTTTAAAACTGACCTCTTTGTAAGCCTTTGTGAGCCTTGCTGGACTGAAAAATCAGCTGGGAAATGAAGTTTTCAAAACACAGTTAAGGACAAAGTGGTTTCTAATTGTACATGGTTTGCTAGTGAATGGGGCAAAATCTTGTCAACACTACCTATAATTTGAATGGTCCAAATATTGTGTACAAAACTGTTTTTGGCCCAGGGTAGGCAGGATGCAAATCTATTTCTAGACTGTTGCCATTTTGAAGTTCTAGATTCTTCCATCTTTCAACTAATAGAAAAGGAAGAAAACTATTAAAATAGTGTGAAACTTTTTCTGCATATATTTGTGTCATATGTGGCAATAAGTCACAAAGCTAGGAATTTATTTTCTGCTGACCACCGTCCTTTGGAATCTACCCTGTGCATAAACGTGTTTGTTAACTTTCTCATCACAAATGGCACCGTGCATTTGGAAATGTACACTGTGTCTTTCTAAGGTCTTTTTAGAACATGGATATGAGTTAGTAAAGCTAGGTAACTTCTGGAGATTAGTAAGAAAGGAAACAATGTCGTCTGAGTTATTCAACAGTAGCACTGCTTGATGAAAAGAGTCTTCTGACCAATTGGATTCAGCCTGTATTCAGTGTTGAAGACCTGTAAGAGTGGCTCTTCTAAGCAATATCTAGGGTTTTAATCTCTTACAGTCAAGAGTACAGCTTAATACAAAAAAAAAACAAAAACACCATTAACATGTTGAAGTGGTTCTATGGTTAAAAACAAATGAAAGAGAAGTTTATAGAAATGATCACTGCACATATTGCTCTTTAAAAGCTTCATCTTGAGATGCTTCAAATGGAAAAAAGTTTCAGCATTGATCACTGCTTTTACCTTAGCGAAGTGTTTAAGAATGAAAGCTGTACGGATACACTGCTCTTTCTCTGGTGTTGAAAATGAATAGCAGGTTGCCAGTGAGCAAAGCTAATGAGGTATTAGAGATTATTCTTTCATGGGAGTTTCACATACATTCTTCATACTTTACTAACCTTATGCTATGAAATTCAATCCTTTTGATGAGCTATCAATAACAGTACACTACTGTTTAATTCTGGAATAGCTACATCACAGGTACTCCAGCTGATTTTTATTCATGCAGCACTTACCCATCTCTTCGGAGAGCCATGCAGAGAATTTTAAGTTTAAGATCATTTACATCCACCTCCTCTTCCTACATATCACATACAGAGAAAAGACAGGTAATTTTAAAATTTGTTATTTAAAAAATAAAAATCACTATTGTGACACAGGTTACACCAATTAAGTAGTCTTCAAAATCTGAATACAGTTAAAAACAACATCCTCTTTAAATAAATGAGCTGATGGTACTTTCGAACCACTAAAGATTTCATTTCCATTTGAAGACACAATTCAGACTTTCTACATCCCCAGAAGACCAACTATCTCAGTTTGAAAAACAGTATAATTTAAAGCACACAAACATCTGCCAATTTGTGGAACAGCATATTCCAGGCAACTTTAACATGCTAAAAGCTGACTGAACTCAAAGCTCTTTACTTGGTCAGCTTGCTCAGTCTCACATGTATCAGCATTTCTATTAGGACACATATGTAATGAATTCCTGATATAGTGATCCAGCACAGATAGAAGGCCAAAGGGTGTGGTACCAAAGGCCTGTACATGCCCTGGTGCAAGCAGAGGTATTAAGACCAAAACACAATCTGTATCCTACCATGAAGGGCAGACCTATCCCTCCATCTGCCAGTCAGGCATCTATACTACTCCCCTTGAGACTATTAAGTTCACAGGACTGCTGGTGGAAGTGACACCACTCCAGTATGCTTCAGTGTCCATAGACAATTGCCATGACCATTCCAACTCTGGCCATTCTGTGATAAGCATGCTCTCGTGATGGACTGTTGAACTTTGAGGAAATGGGAAACATGAGCCTGAACCAGTCCTTGAAGAATATAAACCTCCTCAGGAGCATCAAGTACTGTCCCAGTAAGACCACAACAGACTGCCAGCAATCATTTTTTGTGCCTTGACATCCTACATCACGATGGGTATTATACATGTGTTGTGGTGTTAGTGATAAAACAGTGAGGGCTCAGACCTGACTTGCTCAATTGCTGGTTCATGTTGTGAAGGGGAGTAGTGTATAGGGAGTTGTTGGAGAGGGTCCAGAGGAGAGCCACAAAGATGATCAGGGGACTGAAGCACTTCCCCACGAAGACAGGCTGAGGGAGCTGTGCTTGTTCAGCCTGGAGAAAAGAAGGCTGTGGAGTGACCTCATTGCAGCCTTTCAGTACCTAAAGGGAGCCTACAAAGAGGAGGGGAGTCAACTCTTTGAAAGGGCTGGTAACTGCAGGACAAGGGGAAATGGTTTGAAGTTGAGGGAGGGAATTTTTAGGTTGGATGTCAGGGGGAAATTCTTTATAGAGAGAGT